TTATTCCTTATGTTATTCTTTTTTTTATTTTGTATCATTCTATCACTTTCTCTTTCTGTCTTTCCTTATGTTATTCTTTGTTTCTTCCTTCTATCACTTTCTATCACTTTCTCTTTCTGTCTTTCCTTATGTTATTCCTTATGTTATTCTTTGTTTCTTCCTTCTATCACCTTCTATTATGTTATTCTTTGTATTTATCGTTCTATCATTTTCTTCAAGGACGACATCTAGCTCCGCTCGTAAAGTCACTTGACCTAACATCGCGATGTTACAACTGCGAGCGTTTATACTTGCCAAACAAGCCAAAACACGCCAAAACACGCCAAAAGATGACACTTCGATTTTGAATGTTTCGGGCTTGGCATTTCTGCCGGTAAAGCGTAGTTGCCCTTGGTAACATCGCGGTCAGGCTCCGGTTTGGCATTTTTGGGCGTGTTTGAATGACAGTGTAAATGCCCCTAGTGTGAATCTGTGGAAAATACAAATATTAAAATTCAATTCAGTTCAATTCAAATTTATTTCTAAGTCATTACAAATCATTAACAAATACAAAATATAAATCATGTTCAACAAGAGAGATAACAAATCAACGTAAAGCGTAGCATCCCCTCGCAGGGTACAAATGGCCTACATGTATATACGTCAGAACAAGGTACCTCCATTTGACTATACTATTATATTACTAGGCAAGGAAGTTAACCACATTACCCGCATTACTTTAAACAAACAGAACTTTGTCATTCCTTGCTCATTTTTCCTGATTGAGGTGTCATAGAAAAGGCGGAAACTCAACTTTCTAGAAATGTGATTTTCTCTTTGAAATTCAGATACCGTCCGCCAAATGACTTTATGGTTTCTTCTCTTCAAATTCATTATAATCACTCATGCGTAAAATATGCATCATATGAGTTGCATCAAATGAAAGAGGACGATCTGAGCTTTCCAAATATGTGTCATTTATTTATCATCAATGTGACTAAGTTATGATAAAACATCGATAATTCTCGGTTTCGTTTTTTCTGGGACGCACTCTATAATTAGGTGTTTTTGCATATTTAATGAACAACGACCTTTCACCTTTGACCTATATACTCAGAAATCGAACTTAGGCTGTACATGTATTTTGTTACCATGTACCTTCATATTAAATTTCATTAAAATTCGTCAAACATTACTCAAGTTATCGAATGGAAACCAGATTCGCATATTAAATGAACTATAACCTTTGACCTACCTACTCGGAAATTGAACTTAGGCTGTGTTTTGATACCATGTACCTTCATTTCAAATTTCATTAAAATCCGTTAAACATTACTGAAGTTATCGATCGGAAACCAAATTTGTTACGGACAGACGCACGGACGGACGGAAGGAAGGAGGAAGGACGGACGGCAGCGTTACTATATCCCCTCCGACTTCGTCGGCGAGGGGATAATGACAAAGAAAAGGAAGCCAACAAGCAACAAAGGTTATAATAGATGCAACTCCCTTAGATTGCATGTCAGTTTACATGAGAAGATATAATTAATGAAAAAAGAAATTATATCAAAATACCACTGAAAATGCACACGCACCAAACACACAGTAAGAAATCACAGACACACATCACTCGGGATAGGGGGAGGAGCAAAGTTCGTTGACAATTTATGAAGCAGTAAATGGTGAAAATAGTGTAAACCCTTATAACGATCTTTAATAAAGCAATCACAGGAGATGATCCAGGATTCTGAAGGGGGGGGGGTGGAAAAAATCTGATGAGCAAAACGCTCACTAATCGGTCGGTTGGTTGGTTTTATTTTCAATAAAAGGTATATACCCACATGATGAAAAGATATAAAAATCAGTGCTCTATTCCAAAAACAAAGTAAATCCTCCAGACAGCAGGATACTGATTGGTCATCGTGTATTATAAAGAGAGAAAGTCCTTTGTTTTTCCCCCTTTTTTTGAGTTGTAATAATAATTTCAATTATCCATCTTTCAACTTTTGAATCTGTGAAAATAAAATCGAGATTACGGCGTATGCCAGCAAGTCATGAAGCAGGGAATTTGAATAAAAGATAGAAACCCTTCAGGTTGAACTCATTGATACTTTGTAAAGCGACCCCCCCCCAAAAAAAAAAAAAACAACAACAACAACAACAACAACAACAACAACAACAACAAACAAACAAACAAACACAAAAAAAAAAAAAAAAAAGCAAAACAAAGAAAAAAGGATTTACACATCGGCATGCCTGAGAAATCTAATGGTAATATGGATTAGTTTTATGGATTACAAGCCCACCATATGAATACTCTCGTAGTTTGTGCTTCATGGTTATGTATTACCATTTGTTTGATTGTTTTATTTCAACTGAGTGCTACACAGGTGTTGTGTTCAAGAACATGCATCCAGTGAATGATGGCCCTTGTATCCTATCAGATTGTCAAAAAATTGTCATTGATGATGGTGGTCGCTGTCCCTTTCTCTCTCTAAGTGCCATATCGTTTGACTTTGGCGATCATGCTGTTCCACAACCCTCGGCTCCTAGCCTTCTGTATTAGAACCACTCCCAGTTCTTTCACTCCTCTCTCTTTCAACAATTTCTGCAGACTGTCCATCCAAAGTATCCTCCTTCTTCCCCTACTCCTTCTTCCCACAATTTTCCCTGTCAAAGCAAGATTCTCTAGGATTTCTTTACGTGTAATGTGACCCATGAACTTCAACTGCCTAATCTACATCTCACGTATAATTTTCCTTTGCACTCCAGCTCGTGTAAGAACTTCCTCATTACTAACTTTGTCAGTCCAGGGGATTTTCATCATTCTTCTTAGAAACCACATTTTGCAACTTTCCAAACGCTTTTTAGTATCAGAGGCTAAAGTCCATGTTTCACTACCATACATAAGTACTGGGTAGATGTAACAATTCAATACCCTTATTCTGGTCCTCATACACATTGTTCGATTTGTCAGAATGGTCGCTGTACTTGTTAATTTAAAACCATTCAATGTATGTACGTTTGTGTATTGACATGCTCCCCCCCCCCCTTCATACACAAAAACATGCCCGTTTGAATACCATATAATTTTCTGGATAAAATTGATGTCGTGATAATTACAAAGTTTATAAAGAGTTGATATCAATCGCAACTATGTACATACGAGATAGGAGACTGCAAACTTGCGATTGATAGGAGGAATTGCGATTGATTTTGATAAGACGGGGCCCTAGTCTTCACGCTAGCTAAGTGGTCAGAGTCTGTCATTTTTATTTCCCTTTTTACAATTAAAAACAAAAATACAGAGGCCAGCATGAAAGAAGACTAAAGAATCGTCTGAGAACAATGAACAAAAAGGTATAATGTCTAGGATTACCCAAATTAATCTGGTTTGACTTGAAGGCTCTCCTCTCTATCACCTACAGAATTAAGATTTCTGTTAAAGGACATCTAATTATAAAGAGAGCATGCATGCAGAGAAGGAGTGATAAATTGAGAGAACTGTCAGAAGGAAATTGGAGAAGAAAGTGAACAAAAAAGGGAATTTTCAGGGATAAGGAAGAGATGAAGACTGAGAAAGAGAAAGAGAGAGAAGGGGGGGGGGTGGGGTGAAAAATTAAGAAAGCTGATTTGCTGCTTCACTAACCTTTGAATTCACCTCTCTGCCATGAAAGTCTGGAAAAAATTCTTCCGCTGCAATCTCTACACCTTTCCTATACACTCTTAAGTGATGGACACACGTTCGATGGCTAAGTGCATCTATTATATCTATTGTTAATGGTCCAGTAGTATCGTCAAAAGTTAACGTCTTTTGTGCCTGTTGAAAAGAAGAGATGGTTTATTATTTTCATAAAACCCTGAATGGCATACCACGACACTGCCCGCATAGTGAGCACAAAGAACGAGGTAGTTTGGAAATATGCCCAAATACAACCGAGCATGTTGTATATGGTAACTGAAGTAGGTCAATAATTAATAGGATTTCCATAAGACGCTAATCATACAGTTTATATTTAAATTTCCAATTAATTCGGCTTATGACAATGAAAGATTTCTGACGATTTTATATACCGGTATGCTTTTAATTTTGTATTTAGAATCAGACATGAATGATACTTGATACGTGTAAACTTGATGTCCTTCCATTTGCGATATACAAGAAATATTCAATTTCAATTTTCTTTTCATACAGGCATTGTGTAGAAACACATGTGCAATTGTTATATTTAGGGGACATGTGTGATATATTGTTAATACAGAGCGAATGAGAGAGGACCTCAAAAACCTTCATAGCGTTGTCAATTTGTGTTTGGTTGATTATACATCTCAAAATAACCAATAATTCAATTTTTTTCTTCAGATTTTGCAAAAAAACTTACTTATTTGTTTCTCTCAAGTTCCTGCTTTTATAAAACAAAAAATGAATATCAGGGTGAACTTTCTGTTAAGTATCATATTTTCCACTTGTAAAACTTCTTTAGGCCCACATAGTCGATATGAAAAAGACATTTACCATGTCATGTTGAAGTGTAATTTTCATTCTGTTCTCAGTAGTTATTTGTTCAGCCAGGGGGTCCAATTCCTCATCCGTAAAACAGCTGATGACACTATATACAAAATATGTTTCCATGGAAAGTACATATTTAAACATTTTGAATCACTGAATTTGTATAGAAATTAAAGGAGAATATAATCCCCTGTGATATATATTATATTATGCTTCCTTCCATATAGGCTATTTACCCTTTAAACATTATTCTTGGAATTATTCTGATTGCTGTCAGAAAACGAAACAACTTTTTTTTCCATACATATATATTACCTATTTTTTTGTTTTAATAACTAATTTAAATATTGATTCATTTATTTATTCATATATTTCTTGATTTGTACAATTATCACTGATCTCATTATCATTATCATTATTATTATCAGTATTATTATCATTTGTATCACTATAATTATTATTATTATTATCAGTTTTATTATCATTATTTGTATTATTATTATCATTACTATCATTGGAAATAATGACAATTTCTGCAAACATGGCCTTGATAAACGTACCTTACTGATTTCAAATGCAGATGGTTCTTTAGATAATGTAGTATTGCTTCACTGCGTATGTTGCCCATTAACAGCCCTCGGAAGGTCAGACAGGTGAGTTGTGGGAATGAATTGGAGAAAAGTTGTCCCAGTGAAGCAGGTTCTCCAATGAGAGGAACTAATGTTCTCCCTTCTACTTCTTCACCATGCTCAATAGACAACACTGCTAGGCTGGAATGTGCCAACCGTTCAATATCTCCCGGTGAGACAGTATGACAAGTGGCAAAAGTCAATTGTGTCAAGCTCGGGAAAAGATCTCCAATGGTGACATTTATGTCACCGTTATTAAACTTCTGTAAACCATTTAGGAATTGATGATCTACAACCAGCTCTTTGATTGAGGATTTATCTCCCTGCGAAATGACAAAGAAGTAGAGTACTATCAATGAATCTGTTGATATATTAGACTCTAGTAATGATGTGTTTATTTTCCGCATTAAACAAATTGTTAGTCATGTTTAACAATGCCATACAGACAGAAACTCTCATTCTAATGAAAGAGAATTTGTTTTCTAAATACAAGTTATTCTTGATGAAGCAGATATGTTTGTTCCCTAAAGATGTGAGTTGTGTTTTCCAATCATTGCTCGAAGAAAACATACTCACAACATTGTTTTCCTGTGTTTCCCTTATGAGTAACCCTGTTTCATGGTCAAATACTTTTCATTAACTTCTTTATTTTAACAAGGGAAGCGCTCTCGGCGGTCTCGCCTGCATTTAAAACGCAATTCGATATGATAACAAATTTAAGTTGGGACATTGTTTATAGGCAGGGTGGCCAATTAGCAGACCCAAAAAAATTAAATCCTCTGAATATAATCAGCATTTTGAAGTGAATATCGACTGAGAATCATCAAAAGAATTATTTACTATTATTTGTACCAAGATTGATAACTTTCATGAAATATGAACAAAAAACACAATGATTTATTAATTCTCATATTAAGTTGTGAAAAACATTATCAAAGTATATTGACCTAAAATGACATTTGACCTTGACTTTGAGACCTGGCATTTGTGTCATATGATATGTGATACTTGATAATCCTTGGGTACAAGTCTCATGGAATTTCAACAAACACTTTTGAAATTATGCTCAAAATTCAAATTCTTGATGTTGATGCCTCAACAAAGTCTTTGTTTGCAGACCTGAAATGACATTTGACCTTGACTTTATCACCTAAAAGACAAATCACATGATTGGGTATAATTGATAACCCTTTAGTCTAAGTTTCATTGAATATTAACTGACACTTTCAAAATTATATTACAAATTCAAACACTTAGCCTCTGGTTAAGTTTTGATGGTGATGCCGCAACATAGTCTAAGTTTTTTGACCTGAAATGACCTTTGACCTTGACTTTGTGACCCGAAATTGTGCTCGCGTGATTGGGATACTTGATAACCATTTAGTCTAAGTTTCATTGAATAAGAACTTATACTTTCAAAATTATATTAAAAATTCGAAAACTTAACCTTGGTTAAGTTTTTGACGTTGACGCCCCCGCCGCCGCCAACGTACCTGAAAGGCGGTACCTATTTCTTGCTTTTTACTAAGCAGGCGTGATAAACACACCTTTTTAAAATGGAAATCCACCCTGTAATACTAAGGCAGTTTTATAATAAAAGCAGAGAAATGAAAGAAACAGGTCAGTGAATGTTGGGCAAATTCCGATTAAAAATAAGAAAGAAAAAAAATTGTTATTTTCCATCAGGCATTTTTTCGATCATACATGTACCCTAAATATAATTATTACAAATATGTTTCTATTAAAATATTCCGTCATCAGTAACAAAGAAACTAAACCTTCATGAAATTTGTTGTATTGAGCAAACTGGAGAGCTCAAAAAATACGTCACAGTGATATCAATTTGTGTGATATTGATTGCACCTTCAAAATGCTTACTGTGAATCAGAATTTGCTCAAACTTTCACTGACCTGTTTATCTCATTTTCCTGCTTCCAAAACAACTTAAATCAGGGTGGACTTCCCCTTTAAAGGTAAAGACCAGTTTTTGAAACGCTCCCCTCTCAAAAAATGAAATGGAAGCTCTTATTACCAATCATGTGAAAGAATATGTTTTGACTAATAAGTGATGGTACAAATTTTGCCGGGAACCGCCTACTAATTGATATTTGGTAAATTATCATATTGATCCGGCCTGGATAGATATCGCGAAGCAATTTTGAACATTGAATATTCGTGCATATATTTCTGCTTTTTTGCGAACTTAGGTTGAAGTATTGCCATCTAAACCTCTGAAGGCAATATTTAAAGACCGTCAAAACTACTGGGCCAGAAGGGATTAGACCACACATCGAGGTCACTGACAGGTGGCTATCTCATTAACTCAGCTCTCAACTAACATAAGAAACAGAGGGTCATGGGGGACCAACAGACACCGATTGGGGAAGTTTTCTATATAGAGGGAGCAAGTAGCTACAGGTAGGACAGTGGGGCTTTAAACAATATTGAATGGATATTTTGCACCCAAAACCCTTGAACTGCTATGTTACCACTACCGGTCTAAATCTTTAACAAAGTAAATATATTATTAGTTTTTCTTTTATTATCGTACGTTCTATCTTCCAGTTGTTATGTTTATAATGCAGTTGCTTTTATGCAATTTCCTTCTTTCTTTCTTTTTAAGTGCGCCTTAAAAAATAGATTTCAAGTGGATTCAGCTCCCTATAAATCTCAAATATTATTATTGCTATTATTATTATTATTATTATTATTATTATTATTACATTGCCTTCATTTGACCTAGTCAGCAGAAAGATCCACTTCAATCTGCTACAGAAGATGGGATGTCCACCTACACTGCTACGGTCGATTGTATCCTTCCATGACGATAACCAGGGCACCATCCAGTATGACGGCTCTACATCGGCCCATTTCCCAATCAAGAACGAATTGAAGCAGGGATGTGTGCTTGCTCCCACGCTCTTCGGGATCTTCTTCTCTGTACTGCTATCACACGCTTTCAGATCATCTCAAGACGGCGTGTACATACACACAAGAGCCGATGGAAAGCTGTTTAATCTTGCACGACTTTGGGCGAAGACGAAAGTGAGGAGCATCCTGATTAGAGAGATGCTATTTGCAGATGATGCTGCTTTAGCATCCCAGTCTGAGGAAGCTCTCCAGAGGCTGATTAACTGTTTTTCAAAAGCATTTGAAGACTTTGGCCTGACCATCAGTCTAAAGAAAACAAACATCATAAGCCATGATGTACGCAGCGTTCCCGATATCTCCATTGGAAACTACACCCTCCAAGTGGTTGAAAACTTCACCTACCTCGGCTCCGTGATATCCAGCAGCCTTTCCCTCGATCTCGAACTCAACGTACGTATTGGCAAGGCAGCAACCATAATAGCTAGACTTTCAAAGCGTGTCTGGCAAAACACTTTACTAACCACCAACACAAAAATGAAGATCTACCAGGCCTGTGTGCTCAGCACTCTCCTGTATGGCAGTGAGTCGTGGACCCTGTATGCACGTCAGGAGCGCCGTTTGAATGTTTTCCATCTCCGCTGCTTGAGGCGAATTCTAGGCATTAAATGGCAGGACCACATTCCAAACAAGGATGTCCTCAAGAAAGGAGGAATGATGACCATCTATGCTCTTCTATCACAACGACGACATGTCAGTCGAGTGGAAGACGGCCGCATTCAAATTCAAATTCAAATTTATTCATGTTTCCGACAAAACATTACAAATCAATTATAAGCATTGAAAACAAATGTAAGAAATACATTGTAAATTGACTTACATGATGTATATGTTTCCAAACAGAATATTGATTGTTACATTACATTGTAAAGTGATTATAATTATGATTATAAACAGAATATTGATGTACATCAATGAAGTTCAATAATTACAATAAAATACAAAAATACATGTTGAAAACAGAGGGGTGAACACTTCAAATGATACTTAGGAATAATGAGTAATTAAATTAACTAATCTGTAACTACAAAAGGAACTACAAAATATGGAAAAGAAAAAAGGGGATGCCAACAGAGACGAGAAAGGGACAAGACAATGCTTTACACGACAAAGGTTGCGTTTAGCTACCAAATTTTTGGCTAGAATCAGGTTTCTCAAACGTCTTTCAGGCAAATTTAGAAGTTGATAAACGCAAAGCCTTTTTTAAAGGGCTTTAGATATGGGCATATATAAAGACGCAAAAAGGTGTGTTTTGAATGTGACATACAGCCAGAATCACGTTTCTGAGAGATCGATAAACGCAAAGCTGTTTTGAACCTCACATACAAATAGGACCACCCAGGTGTTGTGTACAAGCATATGTGTGAAGTTGACCTCCGAGAAACTGTCTGCTTCCCGGGTCAAAACAGCTGGGCAGACACAAGGTCTTTATTTTGAATCGTGAGAGGACGATAAACGCGATATTCCGCAAATCACGATCGTATAGTGGGGTATGATAGTGGGGTTCAATAGTGGGGTACGACATGTACATATCTAGTGGCAAGCCTTGATAAACGCGCCCAAAGATAGAATATTCCAAAAGACATAATGTACGGAGAGTTAGCGACAGGAACCAGGGCTGTTGGAAGACCTGTCCCTCGCTTCAAGGATGTGTGCAAGAGAGATATGAAGGCCAGTGAAATCAACCCTACACACTGGGAAGCATATGATTCAGACCACCCTGAATGGAGACGCATTGTGAAGACGGGTATACAGAGGAGTGATCAGAGGAGAGTAGAACAGTGAGAGGAGAAACGACAACGAAGACAGCAGCTAGCTAAATGGCTTCAACAGCACAGCCACAACTGACTTTTTTCTGCACCAACTGCAACAGGACCTGCCTATCTATGATTGGACTGTTTAGTCACATCAGGAGCTTCACACCAAGAAACAAACTAGTACAACTAGCGCAATAAAGTCTTTCGAGACAGACAGATGCCGAGAGAGAGAGAATTTTTAGTTCTTGCCATACAATATCATACTTAAAAAGGTATTGACTGTCATTTGGGAGAATTTGTAAAACTAACAAATTTGTTGTACTTAAAATGTGCATATTTTGTAATTCTTTGTCCGATTTTCCCTTTTTCTCTGAATAATTAATTTGCACAAAGGTATTTTACCGACAATCTATCTTGTAATACTTTGTTTGCTTTCGTCGCCGCTCTGAATGGATGGTTGGCCACACATGCAATTGCGCCATCTTTCGGTGCAAGTGTACATAGAGCGATTTTCAATAATTTTCAATAAAGCATCATCACCCGCAACTCATAAGTTGGTGATGCATTGTGTGGCACGGCTGTACAGACACATACATGTAGGGAAGTTAAGAACAGCAGATGGCAGTATATGCAAAACTGAGGGAAACACCACTATATAGATTAATCATGAACTGGAAACAGTTGAATAATCTTGAAGCCTTTGTTTATATATCTATCTCATGATGCACAGGGAGATAATTTGTGTGGCACATAAAGTTATGTGACTTTTGAATCAGGGTCAATTACAAATAGCTCTTACAATAAATTCTAGCTAGTTGTATTGGTATGTATGGAATCCAACAAAAAAGTATTTGTTATAAAACATATTTTATATTATACATGTATAAACAGTTCGGTGATTTCAGGTTATGCAAGTGTAAAATAAAGAAAATACGATAAGACTTGGGTTGGCAACAGCTTCAAAAGGTATTTAGCCATTCTCAATGAAATTTTGTAGACATTCCTATATTAGTACCCTCTAAAAGTCCGGTGAATTTCTCAAGTATTGAAAAAGCGTGTTGCTGAATGCAAAAGCAAAATGTCTACGCTTTATTTTGTGGACTGATGCTATTCAAAGTGCTCTCTTTGTAACATTTGAAAACTGGTACATTTCACGAAAATGATGATAACTCTGTAGGTTTAACGTATATCCTTGTGAAATTCACAAGGGAGTTTAGGAGATACAGTCAACAAATTACCTACAAAATTTCACTGATAATGACTAAATGCTTTTAAAGATATTGCCAATCAAAATATTGTTTCATTTTCTTTAGAGAACCCTCATACAATGCACCCGAATGAGGAATAATGATCAAGCTGTGCATGATTTGATCATACATTCAAGCACTGGTGTACTGGTGGATCAAGAGCATAAACCTTTGATGGAGGGAATGGGTCAATGTATAAGTTCTGTTTGGTTGTTATTGTTATTTATGTTTTATTTATGTGTGTTTCGCTTTACACAAATTTAATAGCAGATAAATAGCCTTTTCAAGCCCTCGCAAGGGCTAATCTCTCTACAAAAGAGGAGGCAGTTGATTGTTTTTTTTTTCTGTCTCATGTGCATGATAAAATTAAGCAATCAACCATTTTGCTCGGTCACTACGCTCTGTCGTCTAGTAGCTGTACGTAAATAAAGATTCTGAATTTGCTCTAAATTTCTTTTGTTTTTAAAGCATTTTCAAGGAATTGAGTTCTGGGAAGAGAATAATTTGTGAGCGTTATCATTGTATTATGCAAGTGTGGAAGAACATCAGATAAAAAAATGTTCCCTGAAAAGCATGGCTCTTCAAACGCCTTAATATTCTAATATAGCATGTAACGTACATCATAAAAATCGGGACGGATTTTTATGCCACATGTTTATGTAGTCCCATATACATATTTCTGTGTACAGTGCTTGTGACTTTACCAAGACTAGGTCAAATTTCTTATCGTTTTGATGATTCCAGAACCTTGCAGTACACACCAATACTTATATGATAGATGATCAACCTTTTCTGATCGATTCCACAACGTTTCGTTCACAATGCAATCGCATGACCAGAACTCAACTGTATCTTTAAAAATGTCTAATTTCAATAGTACGAAACCCATAATGAAAGTTGTAGATATTCCTTTTTCTATCTTTTTCTATCCTATGTCACCCTTTATCCTCCTATCAGCTGAGACAATAATAATTCCATGTCAGGCCTTATAAGCGATGAAGACAACAATGGATGAAGTATACATATTTTGTTTACATATCTTGTAAGATGAGGACAAACATGCTTGTTTGGGGTACATATGTATATGCAGCGAAATTGTTTTTGTTGTTGAAAATCCTTGCTAGATGGCCCCCACTCTCCTTCCAATTTGTTTGTATAGACATGGTTCGGTAAATCATACTTCCATTATGTGTTCAAAAAACATTACCTATGCGCGCCTCATCCCAGGGTAAAATTCGTCTGATATGTTTAAATAATTATATATATTTACCGCCATTGTATAAACTTGTGTATGCATTAACTTGTAGAAGTCATCATCCAATGATGTACGATAAAACTCTAATCTTGATAATGAGTTTGATGCAAATAGGATGTCTGCTAGGTCACGTGATACAGTTGGGCCACATGATCTGCTTCTGAATACCAAAGTTTCCTGAGAATGACATAAACATGTTATAATTACTATACATTTCTTATTGCTAAAAAGATCCTGATGTGTTTAATATACAGGCCTAGGTATATTATATAGTGTGTGTGAAACCATTATTTAAAATCGAACTTACGCTTTGTTTTGATACCATGTACCTTCTTATCAAATTTCATTGAAATCTGTCAAACATTACTAAAGTCATCGAATGGAAACCAGATTCGCATATTTAATGAGCTATAACCTTTGACCTACATAATCCGAAATCGAACTTAGGCTGTGTTTTTTATACCATGTACCTTCATATCAAATTTGATTCAAATCCGGCAAACATCACTAAAGATATCGATCAATCGAGGGGATAATTATAAGTCTATATTCCCTACAGCTTCAAGCCGCCGAAGATGGCGTTTTTAGCGAACTCATATGCCCATCCCTATGGCCCAGCCTAACCTTTTGTTTGCTGGTTGTCCTAATTTAGTTTAAGGATCATGCCATCTTTGGCCGGCAGCGAGGATTAAAGTGTCAATCACTCAGAAAGGGATACACGTATTTTAACATAATAGGCATGTCAAAATGTATTTATTTGACAAATTTACACGCGTTTCTTATACTGCAGGTATTCATTGTTAACTTTTGTTGTACGCACTAAAACTATAACAAACCATTCCATGCTGTTCCATGATGAATAGATAACCAGAAATTGTGTGAGCAGGCATGTTTTTATCGATAGTCAGCATTCTCCTGTCTGCAAATATCCATTGTCCTACTGCTTTCGCCGTGTCTTTGTTATTCGCTTCAAAACTGACATCTACTATAAGATCATTGTTTCTTCTTCTTTGTTGTACATTTGGGAAGTCATTTTGTTGTATTTTATTGACAATATCAAGTCCCACCTCCTCTCCCAGGGCAGCGGTGAAATACAAAAGGTAACGGAATTCTTGTGGATTCTTCCTCAGTACTTTGCGCCTTGACCTCTTGTACTTTTTGCGATCGGTGTCATATAGAGATGCAAGATAAACAGAAGCAATATATTCTTGAAATAATTTGTGAGGAAAGAATACACAAGTGGTTATAGGCTGTGAAGCAGTGAAAGTTCTTTTCCATCTGGATACATTTCGATTCTCCCGACTTAGAACTCCGATTCTGCAACACGTCTCCATAGCTTCCTTACACGAGCTGAAATCAACCTCATTAAAAACTAATTTCTTATTCAGGAGTCCTGTGAATGCAATCGATCCTATGCTTTGCAAACAAAGCTTGATAATTTCCTTTTCCTTGTCCAGATGGGCTTCATGTAACACTTTGACAACCTTTGACACATAATGGTCTCCTAGAAACATGATCATTTGTTCAAATAATTGAGAAAATGTCTTCAGTCTGCGTATTGTTTCTCGTTTCTCACTGTCACAATTTTTCCATAAGATACATAGCATTGCTACGTAAATTGGGAAGGGTGCCATGTTCTCCTTGATTACACCATTCACTTCAATAAACTGACTCAGTTCTGATCCTGCCTTTTCATCATTCACGAAGTACTTGCTGATGTATGTCGAGACATTTTCAGCACTAAATCCTTCAACTGCAATGAAAGCATAAGACCTACTCAATCCTTCATTGGATTTGATCTGATCTGCCCTCCACGGTCTTGTTGTCACCAGAACTATGCATTGCTTGAATTTCTCTAATCGTAGAATCTGAGAAATATCTGAGCTTTCTTTGGCAGAGAGGTCCCCATCATACTCATCGAGTCCATCAAGTACAATCAGAACCTTTGTAGGTTGAGACAACATATAATTTTCGATCTGTTTAGGGTTTATTGCATTATTGTCAGAGAGATAGGTTTTCATAATATCACCAATCGTCTGACCCTTGACAACGTTGCGCAGGGGTATAACCAGACCCCAACTGAAGCGCTGAAACTCTGGAGATCCATTGACCCAATCCCATGCAATCTTAGAACAGAAGGTCGTTTTACCAACACCACCTTCACCTTCAACCAGCAGACGTTTAGGAAGCACCCCGTTAACTTTTGTAGTAAGCAGATCAGTGTAATCCAGTGGCGTTTTGGTTCCAATTGTTCCCATTTTGTTCCTGAGCAGCGTTAAGTTCGTGTAAATTTGCTCGAATTCAACGATGATATTGAAATCAAGCGGGTCAGGCTTGATTTTGCACATTTGTTCGCGATAGAAAGTCTTCAAGTCTTCCCCACACTGGAGAACCTGTGCCTCAGTCATGAATGGTTGGGAAGTATCCAGTATTGGATCTGTACGAAGATTAAAAACAATTCATGTAAATTCAATAAAATATATATTTCAACAGATGTTACAAATAAGGACACAGATTTGTAATGCCTAACGCATCTAGAAAGGCAACTGACATCTCTGGTTGATCAATTGTTTTGGTTACGCGTGCACACATACAGGGAAGATATCAATGTTTGGCCCGTTTACACATCCCAAACACCACTTTGAAAAATCGTTGAATTTTCGGACAACTATTAACACTACTAGGACAAAACATAAACGTTTGGTCATATTTTTCGGTGAGTATATAGTGCGTATGCACCACTTTGTCGGTGCCCTGAATGCGTTAGCAAGAAAGCAAGGAGATCCACGTGAGCAGAAAACAGTGTCTTACGGAAGTTTCATTTTTATTTTATTTCAACACGGATCACTTGCTTCAGCCAATGGCTGTTCTTCTGCAAGTCCGTATTTGCCCTGTTTGTATTTAGCCTGCAAACAAAAAGTGTAACTTTGGCTGGCGTTTTTTACAAAACCACACTCCAGAGGTGGACTTTTCCATTTGTATTTTTTGTCTTCTTTGAGCATGGCTGATCGTCAACTAAACGTTAAGTCTTTGGTAAACTCTGTTTGTTGCTACGGCAGGCAGCCAGTGAAATCTAATTTGTTGAATCAAATTATGGAAATTAATGCAAGCATTACTTTTAAACAAACAGAACTGTGTTATTCCTGGCTCATTTTTCCTTATTGAGGTGAAAGGGCACACAATGAACTCTCTAGAAATGTGATTTTCTCTTTGAAATTCAGATACCACCCGCTAAATAACCTTTTGGTTTCCTCTCTTCAAATTGTGTTCAATCACTCATGCATGAAATATGCATCATATGAGTTGCATCAGATGAAAAAAGAGGATCTAAGCTTTACAAATATGTGTCATTTATAAGTCATAATTGTCATTAAGATATGATAAAACATCGAACATTCTCGGTTTCATTTTTTCTGGGACCACTGTATAAGCGACAGAGAAACGGTCTATGATCACTTTTGCTTATCGTCTGATTTCAGCTTTCTGTTCTTGCTTGCAATTTACTCCAATGAGGGCAAGACGAAAAGCCTTAGTATGCGTCTGTTTTCGTTATTATTTTTTTGTATTATTATGTTATGGCAAATAGTAATTGAAAATTATTGAATTACTTGTAGTGATAATCAGTCTAGTTTTGACTTTAATTCAAATTAATTCGACCATTTCATTAAGCTCTTTTCATTAGGTCACAAATTTAAACGATAGGACAGTTGATATACGGATAATGGCCATCCCGATAGAATAATTAAGCCTGCAGATCTATGACATGTATGTGCACCCCCCTCCCCCCCCCCCCCCCCAACATCAAACTCTAGCTACGTCCCTGGCTGCGGCCCCGAATATTTTGACATTGCCGATATTGGAGCCATCGCTTATTGGGGAATTATCTTGTAGCCATATACACTGTACATGTATGTTCATAAGGAAGCTGAAGCTGCCACTATTAAAAATAAAGTGACAAATGTTTGCGCTCGCTCTTTTCATTCGGTCACAAATTAAAACCATAGGACACTTGATATACAGATAATGGTCATCCTCGATAGATGAATTAAGCCTGCAGAGCTATGACAGGCTGTGCCAGTAGTTCGTACAAATGAACAAAATATGCGGGATGGGTGGGATTTGAAGGAGTGAACTAAAAATCAAACCTAGATACCCTCCAATAGTTTTTCCCCCAACGCACCTACGAATGACGCATATGCACACGCACACATGCATAAACTCAACATATTATAACCAGAGACAAATTAACCTTTTCAACCATGTCTCTATCGTAACTGTAGTTATCAAGCTATTCACACCTTCCCCCAAGTATTTGATTTCATGAACAAATTTTGAAACGCTAGATATGTTAATTACCAATGTAGGGTTTTAGTTACACATACATTGTACATGTATGCTTTGATGTTTTGGGAAATGTTGGCCTCACTACTGGTCCTTTAATATTCGACTTAACTTCTCAATCAGTTTTATTCAAGTGTAATTGCTATCATTAGATTTCTTTAATAGTTCCATACTGCTTCCGAAATATAACAGCATTTCACACTGTAACTATTTGCGGAACTTGATCATGTATACTCACACTGAGTTGGGGTGTCTTGTGTCGAGTATCCACCTATAAGTTAAAATGAGACAACTGTCTCAAAATGAAATGCTATTTAAAACAAATATGAAATTCAACATTGTCATGTTGCTCATTATTTATAGGAAATAAGATCAAATTATAAATAAAAATGAATAGCTCTGAAGATTTAATTTGACGAAGAGGGAATACCTGTTTTCACAAAAATTATTTTGGGCAAATGTTTAAAAAATATACTACTAAACGTGACAGGCCTCCAACAAATTTATCAGACAAGTGAATTGTGCCCCCTCCCATGGTCCCACCATAAGACTGATTGATGCCTGTGTAACTGTTTATTCAGTCATTTCCAAAAAAAAATCTCTCTTTTATGGCCACCAAAATCTTAAGCTATTACGTAACTGCTTTTTTTGTCGGATTCTCACATTATAACTTATGCTTTTTCATTTATAATCAATACCCTTTCATGACGGACCATAAGCATATTTCAAGGGGCACATCCCCCCCCCCCCCCTTAACAAACACAACCTCAATTTATAATCTAGAAAAAGGTAACTTAAGGTAAAACAAAAACAAAAACGCAAAAAGGGATTGGAGGGAAGGAGAATGCCTGTCAATACCCCCACACCCCTCTATTGACTATTGACTTGAAGTGCATTCACCTTCTTCTAGTTTTGTTCCCAATGCATCTAAATGTACACTCCTGAGTTTTTCAGCGAGAAGTCTCTTGTAATTAGTGCCATCCCTCTGCTTGATTCCCCAGCTGCAGATGACTTCAAACAGTGATTTGGACACATCTAAGAGGTTTTTTGTTAAAATCACTTGACTTTGTGCGTGAGAGACATCTAGAGCATTGCACAAGTCGTAGTAGTGTACCGGAGAAACATCTTTTACCAATGACAGCAACTCTCTCTCTAACTCTAAGCTCCATCCAGCTCTAACAGAATAATAGAAGAGAAATAAAGGAAAGGTCAAACTTCCTACTGAGCCAAATTAGATTAATTGGTTCTATATATGCCTATGATTGTATCACGTACCATTTCTTTGTCTGAAGAAAATTAATGAACTAAATCATACATCAAATAAAGAAAAGATGTGCTAACGTCATATTGCTTGTCGTCCACGTTACTGGTTATAAACAGAGCCTGTGCATGAGGTTCACCGTAAAATCATTCAATCAACGGGCTGGAGCAGGGCAAATTCAGTGTCTGGGGCTAGTTTGATCACCACACCAATGTTTAGCACAAAATTTAGCATCCCTTAATATACTCCCTGAAATATTAGCGACAGATTACGCCTCACGTTCCAAAACATGCTAAATATAAGGTATGTAAAACTAAGTTCTGAGGAAAATAGCTTTTTAATACTCCAATTTGAAATATATATATTAAGTATGGGGACGACACAATCACTCCCTAAGTAAGACAGGTGTCATTTTTTGTTCCTGTTATTAATCAACTACTTTAAAAAAACATTGAGAATTGGTGAATTCCTGGAGCAGGCCATTGTTTGTAAAATGGATGTATCAAGTTCTGGAACTGAACTGAAGTGGATGTAGCAAGTTTTGGAACTTAACCTGCTAGAAACAGGCCAGAAGTGTTTACTTATATTTTCGTATAAAATTCAACTTTTTGACTGTATATTCTGGTCTACTAAAAATAATAGTACATTCATCATGAAAAAATAATCAATTTTGAGTGGATTTGGCATTTTTTAGAAATAAACTTTCATATGTACTTTGAGCTGAAGAAATACGAGAGACTTACGCTTCACGAGGGCCTGGGTTAAGCTCTACATCACCAGATTTCATGAGGAGCAGTTCGGAGAGAGGAGGAATTTGTCCAGAGATCAAATCTGTCTTGGACTTCAAGGACGGCCCATGACAGGATGATACGGATTCTCCCATCTGTTTCTTTAACAGAAAAGGGGGGAAAATACAGTGAATTTATTTATGATTGAGAATATTTCACTTCGCCAGCACGTTATCGAATGAAGTAATGTTTGTTATTGTTGTTTACGTAATCATGTGAATACATTTACTTGTTTTTGTACAATTTTCCCGTTTAATTCATCAATAATTGAATTCGCTCTAGGACAATGGTATTTAACTCTTTCGACAGTCATTCCACATGTTGTGGTTTGATTCAATTAGACCCAGAACCTAAATAATATACCTGATGCATGTACATGTACGAACAAAAATACAAAAACAAATTATGAACACACGTACTGTGTACATTTCATTGCAAGACCACATTGTGTTTGACAACATGAAATGATCATTACTTAAAATCCTTAAATTAGTATCATGTTAAGAGGCTCAAAATCCTTTTTTTTTAAATACAAAATTGCATGTTTCCAACTTTCAAACAAAGTGCCTTGAAATGTATTTTTTGTTTTGAGAGACAATGAATTATATGAGAACAATGTAGCAATGAAAGAATATTTTTCTTGCCAATTTGCAGAACATCACTTATCAGTATTGCTCCATTTTCTACAGTTTTTACTTTAAAAAGAAGCGTAGTATACATTCTCTTTTGTAATTTGATTAATGATTTTTAAAATAGATTATATTAATTTATTTTGATTTCTGTGGTTGATTTCATGTTAAACTTGTTTGTATATATCGCTTGTTCTTTTTGAAATGCAAATAAAATTGAAACTGGAACTAATTGAGCCCTTGAAAAATTCTTGTCCTGCGAGGGTCAAACCATAAGTACAAAATCATTGATCAAGATGCCCTTTCTGCGAAAATATGTTTTGTTGATGACATCAACTTGATGTTCCTCTCCTTCTTGCTTACATTTTTTCCTTCAAGTTATTTGTAATTTTATAATTACTTAACCCACTGCACTACACTGATATTATTTTAATTGCCATAGGCTTTAATATAGGAGCCATCTGGATCCAGTAAACAACGGGTTAATATAAAGGGCTGATCGAAAGAGTATGTGTATACCCACCTTTCCATGTCTTTCACTGATGCAGTTTTTTCTTGAGACGAATGAAACCACTGGACTGTGTTTGACTGCCATGATAACACAGGTTTCAGTCTGTGACTTCTTGCAGCTTCCCGGTGATGTCTGATGCTGCTTAAGGAGTTCATCATCAGTTGCTTCCTTGGTGAAAGTATCAGGTTGAGGATGCTGCTCTTTGCACACGAAATGAGGTAGTTTGCCACTCTCTTCAGAAATTGGCTCATTTCGTCTGTCAGATTCATGGCAACATACATGTAGGTCAATTGAAGGAAGATCTTTGCTTGCAGACACAGTTGGTTTTAGGAGCTCCACCAGGAAATCATCACATGGTGCGAATGGTTCGCATACTGTGGTTTCTGAACCAGATGATGATAGCTCTTCCACAGAGCAATCTGATTGGGTTTCATAGTCTTTAATATAAGAAGTCTGTATGATGGGATCAGCATTCAAATCATCAGTCGAAGTCCGAGGGTCTTTCTTGGACGGATAGGATGTGAGTAGCTCCCTCAGGGAAGCGTCTGACAGACTATGACGTGGTGAAATAGAAAAAATCCCATATATGCTGTTCTTCCGAATCACCAACTTGTGTATCTTGCTCCATGCTTTCATCATCTGATGTACGTACTATGTTGACATAATCATAAGCTTGTGCAAGCTGCTCCTCAATGTAGTCATCGTCCGGCTTTATAAGCTGTTTAATGTTGGTCTCATTTGGACGTAGTAGACTATCGATTTTTGAATCATTTGATGTGATTAGATCCTTGACATCAGAATATTCTGATGTGATTAGATCTATGATGCTAGAATCATTTGGGGTATCAGGTTTCTTGGATATGATTACATCTGGTATACTACAGTATTTTGGTGTAATTTGATCGCTGATACTAGAATAGTTTGTCGTGAGTAGCTCTTGGATTCTAGAATCATCATTTGCGATGAATAGACCTTGAATTCTAGAGTCGTCATTTGCCTTGACCAGATTTGTAATTCTAGAATCATTTGTTGTAATTAAATCTTTGATACCAGAATCGTTTGGTGTGATTATTTCTTTGATAGTCGAATCATTCAACGTGTTTGGACTTTTTATGCTACATTCATTTGGAGTAATGAGTTCTTTGATGCTAGAACCGGAAGAAGTGAGTATCTCCTTGATATGAGAATCACTTGCTGTTAATAAATCTTGTATGCACTGATCACATGAAGTTAGTAAATCCTTGATATCTGATGAGTTTCCTGACGACCGAATGTTCAAAGTTTTATGAGGACATATCTTGGGATCAGGGTCATCTTGTCTGCTTTTGTCATCTTCTGACTCCTTGCCAGAATCACCCATGTTCGCTTCAAGTCTCTCGCAAAGAACCTTCAGTTTCCGAATCCTTTGCAATCTCTCTCTCCTTGGTGTCAGCAATTGTTTAATACATGTATCAGAAGGGGTGAGTATCTCCTTGATATGAGAATCACTTGCTGTTAATAAATCTTGTATGCACTGATCACATGAAGTTAGTAAATCCCTAATATCTGATGAGTTTCCTGACGACCGAATGTTCGCATTTTTATGAGGACATCCCTTCGAATCAGGGCCATCTTGTTTGCTTTTGTCATCTTCGGACTCCTCTCCAGAATCACCCATTTTCGCTTCAAGTCTCTCGCAAAGAACCTTCAGTCTCCGAATCCTTTCTTTCAGCAATCTTTCTCTCCTCTCCTTGACGTCATACTCCTTAATCCAATGAACAAATGTTCCGATTCGGACCCTCCACTCACTTAGTGATACAGGCATCTTGGCAAATCAATTGACTCAGTCACAAGAACAAGCCACGATCTGGAAGAAATATTGGCAGGGGGGCCTACATTAAGTAAATGAAACATGGCATTGGTAATATCCACACCTATACAGTAACACATTTATGTAAAATGGTCAACTGACAGTCCAATTAAATAACAAGAAAAAGAGAAAAGTCAATCTGAATAGCCCACAATGTTTTATTGTTTAAACTACCTAGTATGTTTTGTTTCGCATTTAAGTAATGACTGGTCAAAAAGTATAGTAGTAATAGTAGTTATAGTAGAAGTAAGAGTAACTAGTTAGTGGTTGTAGTAGTAGTAGTAGTATTTTGGTGGTTATTGAAGGCTGCCCCCAAGCCCCTGGGAGGTATATACCCCATTTGAACAACTTTATATCTGCCTTTCCTGGAGAGGATTCCTACTAATTTTGGTTAGAATCTAGCCACGGGTTTTCAAGAAGAAGTAAACGTGGATTATTGCCACAGAGGAACTTTGGGAGGGGTTACGTAGTATACATACCCCATTTGAACAACCTCAGATCGCCCTTGCCTAAGGATGATTCCTACCAAGTTTGGTGAAAAACTGGTCATGCATTTTTTTTTTTACGAAGTAAAAAATGTTTTTTTTGGGGGGAGGCTCGCAATAAGGGACCCAACTCCCATCCACTTTGCACCAGGGACATAGTTTTATTGAAATGATATAGGGCAATTTAAGGGTGCTGCATGCTTCCAAGTACCATTCAGGGGCAGGTATGAACTTTGAAGTTGGGTCTTCTTCACATAAAAATGATTCCTACAAAAGTTTTGCACTCTCTTATTATATATCAAACAATGTCTCCTGTTCACCCAAGCGTGAACATATACCACACACAAATGATCCCAAATAATCTTAACATAAAACAATCTTAACATTAGATGTATAATAATTTACTGTTCATAAAACATTTTTAAAATAATTATCTATTATCCAGGTGTAAACTTTTTTTGAGTCACACTGTATTGTCACCAAGCTTGAAGATCAAACCTCAAGTGGTTCTTGATATCGTGATAACAAGTATATACATGTAATAACACGCAACGATTAACCCCGGTGACCTTTGACCTGCCACACAATCTATATTAAACCGATCTTGTTTTCCTATCATATTTAATACACACCGTCACCAACTTTGAAGTTCATAGTCTAACCCAAATAACATAGCCTTTCAAAACACGAATACACCTCTACTTATTAATATTCGAGCCTCTGATTTTCAGAAAATCTCTAAACTGACCCAAACATTATAATCCATCCATTTTTCACAGATCTCACGCTTGCTGGGCTACGCCCCTCGAAAAAATGTAATACGGTCACGTGGCCTTGATGACGCATTTGACGTCATTGCGGGCATGTCCGATTCGTCCTACAACTAAGGATTTTACAATACTCATTGTAATTCAAAAATGAAACGTACTGGGATTATCAAGTGCATATTATTTTTCGGATAAATGTCTTTTTTCCCCTATTAATATCGTAGTTTGCCTTTTTAAAGACATTTTAATGCCTAAATCAATATTCTCCGTAGAGGCTTCTGCAATCCAATTAAATTGTCTTCATATATTTAAGGCTATATTATGCATGGTGATCGATACACAAACAAATAAACGAAAAACATAATCCCTCCGGCACCTCTCCAGCAAACCCTACTTGCTGAGAGGCGGGTATAATTCAAACACACCACACACTATTGCATAGACTGCACACAATAGAACCGATGTTGCTGATCGGCAAATTTGACACTAGACTTACAATTTGAATTTTTAAATTATTCTTTTTAACATCAGTAAGTTGAAAAAATTGTATTTTACTGCTATATAGGTGTCATCAATTGTCACTATTAAGTACCGATTTTGAGTGAAATCAGTTAAGTTTTGTACAGTGGTGTTTGAAAGGTTGAGAATCAATGAAACACCTCTAATACACACCCAGGATAATAATGCAGCTATATGTGTGTCCGGCACCACCTTCTGTTAGTGGGAGCATAACAAAATGTTTAAAATAAGTCTGAAATGGATGTATGCATCCATGCATACTCAGATACCCCCCCCCCCCCCAGGTCCCGATCGATCCTAGCTACTTCCTGAACAAAATCTGTAAGACACGAACGCACATGAAACTAACAAATCAACTCACTAAAGCATGAACATTATTTCAATACAGCACCAGGAAAATACTAATTCCTTTGGCTTTACAGCAAATTTAATAAATAATTGAAAAAACATAAACCATTAGATCGACAAGTCGTACTTTTTAACCTATGCGCGCGGCCGCCCCCGCTCCAGTACGTACACATGTATACGGCACATTGTTTGGTACGCTTTTACACGTTATATCAAAATCAAATGTAAAGTAACTCTTTTGTTTATCATTCTCCTAACTCCAGGAAGCCCCGACACCAGGCGCTGGTGTCGGAGCTTCCTGGAGTTATCATTCTCCCAAAGAGTCCTAAACGTATTTGCTTGAATACACGCAAGACGAAACACTCACCGTCAACGCCAATGTCACAAATGTTGGCATGTATCATCACTTAGCAATGGTACATGTTTAAACTGATCATAATGCCGAACTTACAGTCAATTTGCTGTAAAATGCAAGATCAACTCGTGGTGCAGGTGTTCCTAGCTCCCTAGCATGCATATGCGTCAACAAAAAATGGATAGGTTTACCGCTTGCTCTTGGACTTTGAACGGAGCCGTTAATATGAAACGGAGAGGAGAAGGGGATGTACACAGGTTTCAGATATTGAGATTGTTTAAACGATAGTATAATACGTGTTTATTAAAAGTGGTGGATTCAGGGGGCACAAGGGGGCAAGTGCCCCTCGCCCCCCCCCCCCCCACCCGGTAAATAAAAAAAAGGAGGAAAGGGGGAAGGGGGAAGTAAGTGAAGGGGAAAAGAAAGAAAAGGGAAGAGAGAGAAGAAGAAAAAAAAGTAAGGGGAGAGGAGAAAAGGGAGGAGGAAAGGAAAAAAGGGTGAAAAGACGGTCGAGGAGAGAAAAGGGGGAAAAGGAGAATAATGAGAAGGCAAAGAAAGAAAGGGGGTGATATTATAAGAAGGTGTTTCTTTTACCGGGAATGGGGCGGGGGAAGCAATTTTGCAATGTGCATAATATGGGGTCCCTCTTGCCAGGCCTGCATGTACTAGCCCCCCTCCCCCCCCCAAAAAAAAAATATATATATATAATATAAAAAATAAATAAAGCACGAAATTAAGAACAAAGCACCAGAAAAGATATTAATTCCTTTACAGCAAATCTATAACATAATCATAACTTAGCAATGGTACATGTTTAAATTGATCATAATGCCGAAAACAGTCAATTTGCTGTAAAATATGCAGGTTCGCTGCTCTCGATCATCGCCGTCCTGGCCAGTGTTCCTCGCAAGGATAATATTATGCACCACACAAAAAACAAAAAATGGATAGGTTTGCCGCTTGCTCTTGGACTTTGAACGGAGCCGTTGATATGAAAAGGAGAGGAGAAGGGGATGTACACAGGTTTTAGATATTGAGATTGTTTGAACGGTATTATTAACGTGTTTATTATCAGTGGCGGATTTAGGGGGGCACAGGGCCAGTCAAGTGCCCCCCCAGTAAATATTAAAAGGGGGAAAGAGGGAAGGGGGGAAAAGAGAAAAAGGAGGGGGAAAGAAAAAGGAGGGGAAAGAGAAAGAAAAGGGAAGAGAGAGAGAGAAGAAGAAAAAAAGGAGGAGAGAAAATTAGGGGAGAGGAGAAAAGGGAGGAGGAAAGGAAGAAAGGGGGAAACTGAAAGACGGTCGAGGAGAGAAAAGGGGGAAAAGGAGAACAATGAGAAGGCAAAGAAAGAAAGGGGGTGATATTATAAGAAGGTTTTTTTTTTACCGGGAATGGGGGGGGGGGGGTACGCAATATTGTAATGTGCATAATATGGGGTCCCTCTTGCCAGGCGTGCATGTACTAGCCCCCCCCCCCCCCCCCCAAAAAAAAAAAAAAAAAAAAAAAAAAAAAAAAAACACGGAATTAAGAACAAAGCACCAGAAAAACAGAAAAGATATTAATTCCTTTACAGCAAATCTATAACATAATCATTACTTAGCAATGGTACATGTTTAAATTGATCATAATGCCGAAAACAGTCGATTTGCTGTAAAATATGCAAGTTCGCTGCACTCGATCATCGCCGTCCTGGCCAGTGTTCCTCGCAAGGATAATAATATGCGCCACACAAAAAACATAAAATGGATAGGTTTGCCGCCTGCTCTTGGACTTTGAACGAAGCCGTTTGAAAAGGAGAGGAGAAGGGGATGTACACAAGTTTTAGATATTGAGATTGTTTGAACGGTAATATTAACGTGTTTATTATCAGTGGCGGATTCAGGGGGCACAGGGGGCATATTAATAATAAAAAAATAAAAAAATAAAAAAAATCCAAAATATTCAGTTCATATACGATGAAGGAATGTAATGGTTCAATTTAATTGTAACAAGTGTGGAAAGACCCACAGAGTATTATAGATCAAATTGAATGACAAT